ATCCCAGTGATAAAGGGGTTTTTAGCAATGCATTTACTAACGACTTACTGAGGAACCTTGGAGAGCCTGGAAGGCACAACTGGAAGGCACACAAGTACCCATACCTATTCGTCCCAGAACTAGGCGTTCTGAGTATGTGTGAATATGATTGGCCTCTAGAAATGGATATAACGGATGGTTGAATAATAAACATGTGACTACAACTGACTATAACCCATTTTTTAAGGGTAAATACCCCAATATTGAATAATCTTGAACCAATGCCCAATTAGGCCAAAAAGGTATGAAACTACCAAGTTGGTGCTGAGGCAAGCGCGAATTTCAGCTACAAGAACTGGTCCGATGCTTGGGGCGAATGCCAGAGGGCGTTGATCAGATGAGGCATTTTCGAATCGGTGTTCTGTTTCCCACTATTAGCAACCCCAGAAAGACAAAACATGACAAAACAGTATAACAATATATTAAAAGTAAAATCCTAGTTTAATCTTTTGGGAGGATGGAGTTGGATGATTTGTGTTGACAAGCTTCGGCACTGCTGTTTTATCACCAGGTGGAACTGCCAATCAGAACTGCGATGGTTTGAGTGCTTGAGGGGAATAGCAAACAGTTTCAAACCAGGCTGATGGATGGGGCGTACAGGATGTGGAATGGGGTGTGTTGTAGGAGCACAGCATGGGAGCATCGGGAAAAAAATTGTCAATTTCAACTCTAAGAAATGTAGACGAGCTAATTACAGTGGAAAGGGAAACGGTGAATGTGAGATCAAAACCCAAAGAAGAGCCAAGTGCAAAGAAGTCACTCATTTGGAGCTACAAGCGAGATGAATCAGGAGGTACTTTGGTGAACCCTCGCCCTGGCCAGGAATCATTTGAGTGTACGCAAAAGAGACTGACTTCAAGAGTAATTCCAATTCCTATTATATCAATACGTATTATATAATATTATATAATATTATATATATATATATGTATACACAGAATTCCCAATAATTCCCATCATTTCCCATGGTTTAGGAACACCCCATGGATTTCACCCCGAGGCACGCGTGGCCAACAAGCGCGCGGACCAGGCCGAAGCGCAACTGGCCGGTCGCGCGTGCGGCTGCCAAGCCGCGACGGGTTGACCGGGTGGCCTGCAGAGACGCCAAAAATGGGAGTTTTGCAGGGGTGATTTAAGGGAATATATACATAATTATATATTTTATATTATGTATATATATATATATGTTTATATAGTTATATATATATATATACAAACCAAGAATATACCAAGAATATACCAAGAATAACGGATTATAATGAGAGATCTAGTGAATCTAGTGGGGTATGATGGATGATAATGGAATCGAATCGGATACGATGGGACGATGCAACCAACTAATTCTATGTTTGGGTGTGTTTCACGACGGGGGATACGTCCAATTCATGGCAATTGCAGTTTGTCAAATATGGCAAACTGATGATCAACCACTTATTATTTTGGGAAAGTATGGGATACATAGTCTATTTTCGAACAAACCCATGTCATGGCACGGCTCAAAAGCTGAGGTGCCTTTTTATGATTTTTATGTATCAAATACATCCAAACCCAAAAAGATGAATGAAAAGGTTCTGAGAGGCAGTTCACCATGACAACGGGGACCCCACTGTTTGAATAAGAGAACTATGTAGAAGTGCAGGAGTTTCAAGTGCCATGTGAGACTACCGGAGGGTACCCATGTGGGTACCCCGCTTGCATCAGATTCGTGTTTGGTGATCTACCAGCTGGGATCCGCAAAACTGTCAGGACCGGAGAGGACCGCTTGCAAGCAGAACGACGCGCTGCCGAACATGCACAGGTGATGGATGTGAGTGAAAATCATCACCCCAATAACCAAGTGGCTTTGTTGGGGTATGTTTGGATAATATTCCCATTCATATCATTAACAATTGTTGTTGGTGAACTGGTATATATCTGTAAATATCAAATATCCTCGTATTGGTCAAGTGGTTTTTATCCCTATTTTGGTTCCTTAAATATTGAAATAAATAAGTCAATTCTGACCAGATCTCCAAACACCACCAGGAAGCTCAAGCAGCGGAGCAAGCGCGTACGGGGTGTCCAGTCGTCGTGGGTATCTTCGAATCGGGGTTCAAATTTCCACGACCAAAAGGGCGGGCTTGAGGGCCTTAGAGAACCACTTAAAGGGGCTTTACAAAACAGGGACCTGGAAATATATTCGATAGAAAATTTGATGTATTTCCATTATTTTCCATTTATTGGTCAGCTATTTTTATGTGAAAACCATCCGGCACCAGGGACGGTTTGCCAAGGGAAGCACCAAGGCTTGAAGATTGAAGAAGCCTACCGAGCAGGACATCTCAGGGAGTGCCTCGGCCGAAGCTGAAGTTGAATACCGGGTTGAACATTTTATGTTGAATGGATGGTATATGATGGTATAGTAGGCTGCCCTGTTTTTTTTCTTTTTCTTTTTTTCTGAGGCTCTTGTTGAGTTGGAAGGAGTTGAGTTCTCACAGATACCCTTCAATTCAGGTATACAGGTGTCAGCTAACCTGTAAGCAACAAGCGCTGTATTCGCCGCTAGATGGGGATGATGGAATTTTGCGGGATGATTTCATCATGAGTCACTATTTTTAATGATCTTCAATGTATTCGCCAGATTGTTTGCTCTCATTGTTTCTCATCACAATCGATAGATGATTCTTAATTAATGACAAACTGCGGAGGCAAGAATTGCAAGAGCGGCTTGCAAAGGTAGAGGCCTGGGTCCTTTACAAACCGTCGACCTGGGAGAGCTGCAGGGTGTACGAGCCTTTACCAAGCAGAACAATGGGAGGACACCGTGTTCAGAAACCCATGAAAAATCAAACTGTTTGAATCCTTAATGAGGATCAGTATAAGTTGAATATTTCTGCTGAATGCGTAAATCTTATAATTATCTCCCAAGATAGTATATAATAATATATTAATATATGTTACTCATTCTTGATCACATTCGTTTTGCAGTTGCTTCCCATATGTCGGCCCCTTCAAGGCTCGCGTGAAGCTTTTGGAGGACCGACCTTACTATGTGCCAGTGCCATAGGAAGGGGAGGGCAGATGCTCAACAGAGCTCAAGATAATTACTCCCTGACCCTGCCAACATATGGAATTGCTTGGTTCATCACCATTTTTGCTAGTAATTAAATGTGCAATTTTATGTGGGCGCATCTGGACAACTTGTAAAACTTGTAGAACTCTTATATTGAATTATATTGATACAATGTGATATGTATAGTTATGTGAGCGTATACATCCATATAATCTTTTGGTGTTGGGGGTACCCCATTTTCAGGTCCCTCAGACAAAGCCGAGCGCAGCACGCTGGCAGCGCAGGGGCAACTTGAGACTGTTGAGACCGGAGAGGTTCTGAAGGCCGATACCTCAGACAAAGCCAGTTTTTTTGATATATAATCCAATAATGAAAGTAATTGATAAGAATTATAGATGATCATCATTATCAATATTATCAATAGTTTATTATTTGGATAATAGTATATTATTATTATTAGTATTTAACTATTTACAATAGCCTATCTATAGTGATGATCATCTATAATAATAGTGTTGCTAATCTAATGATGAGAGTGGCTTATTTGAGTGTAGTAATGGCTATAATAGACAATTATTTGAGACCATTATAATGGATTATAATCACCTATAATTAATGATCCCAGAATCCAGTATGATGACAAAATAACGATAATGATGATACTCAAATTTAAATGTCGATTTTACTAATCCTATATCTATATATTATTACGATATCTATATGGAGGTTTCCTAAAATGGTACCCCACATCATCCGAGTAATGGATGACCCTGACTTAGTGTTGAAACCCATGGTGACCTGGGGATCCCGCATGACTTACTTAAGAAGCCCAGGCGTTGCGCGTATATATACGTATATAATGATGTATATTATTGCATATCACCATTATATCCCCATCTATGGTTTGTTAGATACCATTAAAATCCATTCACTATATATACTATTATATAGATACATCAAGAAACCCTCATTGGCGTCTGTATCTCACAGCATGTTGCAGTTGGTCTAAAAGTTGACCTCGTTAACTCTGAAATCAAGTGTTTAGACTAAGTTTAGACTGGAACGTTGCATGAAGAATGATGCAGAGATAGACATACATAAAACACACATATACATATAAATCTTTATTTATAAACACATACATACATTGACATGTATATTTATATTATACAGATATATTTATACATGTATGTGTGTATATATATATGTATATATATACATGTACATATATCATCTCATCATGATCATGAACCAATCGCAGATTTGCCAGGTAGCTCAAGAGCAGATTGCAAGGGAGCCACCGGTGGAGGTGTGGTGATGTTTTCTTTGCAAGGATGAGTTGTCTAGGTGAAAACTTGGGAGACCCATTCATTGAAATTGGCTATACTACTGACTGTGGATGGTTGCGAAATCCTGCACCAGTTGATAGGAGGTTTATCCCATTATTTATAGGGTTTCAACCATCCAAGGTGGTGCAGGATTTCTTCCATCCACAGTATCCTATACTGTTGCAATGCACAATTGAATAGATATTGCTGACACTTTGAGGTTGGAATGTTTGAAACAATTCAGAATTCTTTGGTGATTTTGATGGACATTGGAGGGGGAGATCTCCAAACCAAGAGCGGAAGCAGGAAGACAAATTTGTTGGGCAGTGCACTTACTTCTCCTATTGCACTCCGACAGCTTGTGGTGGAACCACTACATTGTGAACGAGAAGCAGAGGTGCCCACTGCTTGGAATGTGTACCCATGGTTGGCTATCCTTTGTCATGTACTTTCTGCCTAAGTTCATGTATGTTGCGATGTCGGAAACATTGTTTCATTTCAAATTTCGGGTGTGAAATTTTGGTGCCATGATGAAAGTTCCACTATGTTCCACTACATTCCACTTGCATATACCGCCAGCTTGGCTCAGATTGCAGATGGTGTGATGTACAGGTGTTATTTGCTTCTTGCCCTTCTCGGGGAGGCGGCCAAGCCGCTTTGCCGGGACCTTTCGAGCGGGAGCGACTGGCAAGACTGCCGTGTGTTGATCGGAGGCCTGGCTATCCAAGGTGCTGAGGCCTTCAATGCAGCGCTGGGGCCCACGTTTCAAGACTACTTGACCAATACCTACAACGACACCTATGGCACCTTGGCCGGGCCATGGGTGACCCTACTGGTACCGTGGCGCTGGGATCGATTGGATAGCCGAGTAAATGTGCCTATTTTTATCGCCCGTAGACGGCAATAGAATCCCCCATCATTTCCCCTTAATAGTCCATGAATGGCCTACATAAGACTGCGTAAGTAGTATTTCTAGTTTTTACCAGCAAGCAGTTCACCATCGCTTGTTCTCTTGCCCTGGACTAGTTTATGCTCATGGCTACGTTTGAGGTGTAACCGATATGAAAACTGCCACCACTGAGGTCTAGAGTTTGAGGCACTGCCCTTGAACTTTGACCAGAACTTTGCGTTGGTGGGTTCTGGTGAAGTTGACTTCATCTACAGCAATCCAGCTGCCTACACATGTATGGCTGTGGAGTTTGAGGTTCAAACAGTGGCATCACTCGTGAACTTCCGTAAAGGATTTGCACTTGGCAAGTTTGCGGGGGTCGCTTGGTCAGATTTCTTCCTTGTGGTTTGAGTTGTTTTTCTTATTCTTTCGACGGAATTTTATTTCGAAAAAGCGGGCCCAGGATCAATAACCCCCTCAATTTATTCACAGCACTGGGTACCAACTTTCATAGTCATTTGGCTATGAATCAATACCTATAAATACCATTTTTAGTGGGTTATTCACATCCATTTTAACCCAGCTATTTTGATGTGAACAAAAAAGGGGTACCAGGGTTTTGTCACACTGCCAGTCACCTCGCCCATCCTTGGCCATGCCATGGCCATGGCCAACACATATCCCACTCAGACTCCGCCAGTCATGAAGATGAGGTTCCAATTACCCTACGTATAAATGTACATAACAATAACTAATAGTAATATGATAGTAATATTAGTAATACTAATAGTAATGATAATAGTAATAATAATAGTGATAATATTAGTGATGTAATTATCATGTAGTAATAATGATAAACAATAGTAATAATCATTGTAATAATAATCGTAATAATCATGGTAATAAAAACAAGGGGGGCCTGAGAACCCAAAAGCAAAACGACAGCAAACAAATTTGAGTAATACTGATAATTGGTTTATTTCTTTTTCGCCTCTTGCCAGCTTCTTTTTAGAAGATGAACATTATGGACGCATTCACTGCAAATTTCATTTTTCCCCACCTGCCAGGTGAGGGTTGTTAGATTTTATCAGAGTTGTTCTCCTCGGCTAGCTGTCCTCCTCGTCCTCCTCCTCCTAGTTGTTCACTCGCAACCGTCCGCGCGATTGCTATATGGCCGTGCCTCTGGTAAGTTCTCCAGAAGGGCTAATTTTTGCGTTTCGCGTGGCAGGCGTGGCACTTCGTGACATTCAGACGTGTTTTGTAACGTGTCGAAAGTCATTTTGTGTGGCAGGCGCACTACTTTTGCGACGTTTTCAGAAGATGCGTTGCAGTTTTCGTGGCCGGCGCAGCACTTTGGACGTGTCCATCGTCATTTTGCGTAGCAGGCGCAGCACTTTAGACGCGTCGTGTTGCGTGTTTTTTACGAATCGCATTGGCAGGGCTGCGTCAAGTGGCGACAAGGTGCAGATTCCGTGGCAGACGTGGCATTTTGTGAGATGTGCTGAAAATTGACGGAAGCCTCCCACGAAACATCGATTTTGAGGTAGCAAATTTAAAGGCTCGTACGAAAACTCGCAGGAAAACGTCAATTTTGAAGCTATATACAAAGTGTGAAAATTGGAGGAAGTCTCGCACGAAAGGCTCGTTTTGATGCTCCCACATCTCTCGTCTCAAGTCTCTAGTTTTCCTGTAGCGTCGCCGTGTCTATGGGGGAAGCTGCAAAATCTCTCCTTTTCGAAGGTTTCCAAGCAGGTTGTCATGTCGTTTTGCGTGGCAAGGGTGGCACTTTACACTCTACACTCCACCACACTTTACACTTTGCACACTCCTCACTCTACACTCCACCACACTCTACACTTTGCACACTCCTCACTCCACACATTAAATTAAAACTCTACACACCACACTCCACACTCGACACTTTCCACTCCACACTCTACACTCCACACTTTACACTCCACACTCCTCACTCCACAATTTACACTTTACACTCCTCACTCCACACTCTACACTTTACACTTTGCACTTTGCACTCCTCACTCCACACTTTACACTCCACACTTTACTCTCCACACTCCGCACACTCCACGCTTTACATTTTTGACTCCTCACTCCACACTTGACATTTTACACTCCTCACTCCACACTTTACACTCCACACTCCACACTCTACACTTTCCACTCCACACTTCACACTCTGCACTTTCCACTCCACACTCCACACTCTACACTTTACACTCCATACTCTACACTTTACATTTTTCACTCCACACTTTAAATTTTACACTCCTCACTCCACGCTTTACACTCCACACTCCACACTTCCCACTTTTCACTCCACACTCTACACTTTACACTCCACACTTTACACTCCAGACTCCACACTCTACAGTTTCCACTCCAGACTCTAGACTCTACACTTTACACTCCTCACTCCTCACTCCACACTTTATACTTTACACTCAACACTTTACAGTTTGCACTTTACACTCCTCACTCCACACTTTACACTCCACACTCCACACTTTACACTCCACACTCCACACTTTACACTCCACGCTTTCCTCTCCACGCTTTACACTCCACACTTTACACTCCACACTTTACACTCCACACTTTTACGCTCTACACTCCACAGTCTACACTTCACACTCCACACTCTACACTCCACACTCCACACTTTACCCACTGCAAACTCCACCCTTTACACTCCTCACTCCTCACTCCACACTTTACACTCCACACTTCCCACTTTACACTCCACCCTCTACACTTTACACTCCACACTTTACACTCCAGACTCCACGCTCTACACTTTACACTCTACACTCCACACTCTACACTGTCCACTCCACACTGCAGACTGGTCACAGGGGAAATATGTATATACAAGACTGTTCAAACAAACTATTGCAGAAAATTGTTCTGAGTGACTGCATATACATTAACATACGTGTGAGCATACGTGTTAACATACGTTAGCATCTTGTTCTTCTCCCCACCCATTTCCAGCCACTCCGTTGCACCCACGCCGTCCGCAGCCGTCTGCGCAATTCTCCCCACCCATTTCCCGTCCGCAGCCGTCCGCGCAGCCAAGCTCGCTCATCCCCAGCGGCTTCTTCTCCCCAACTATTTCCAGCCACTCCCTTGCACCCACGCCGTCCGCAGCCGTCCGCGAAATTCTCCCCACCCATTTGCCGTCCGCAGCCGTCCGCGCAGCCAAGGTCGCTCATCACCAGCGGCTTCTTCTGCCCATCCATTTCCAGCCACTCCCTTGCACCCACGCCGTCCGCAGCGGTCCGCGCAATTCTCCGCACCCATTTCCCGTCCGCAGCCGTCCGCGCAGCCAAGCTCGCTCATCACCAGCGGCTTCTTCTCCCCACCCATTTCCAGCCACTCCGTTGCACCCACGCCGTCTGCAGCCGTCCGCGCGATTCTCCGCACCCATTTCCCGTCCGCAGCCGTCCACGCAGCCATGCTCGCTCATCACCAGCGGCTTCTTCTCCCCACCCATTTCCAGCTACTCCGTTGCACCCACGCCGTCCGCAGCCGTCCGCGCAGTCCTCCGCACCCATTTGCCGTCCGCAGCCGTCCGCGCAGCCAAGGTCGCTCATCACCAGCGGCTTCTTCTGCCCCATTTCCAGCCACTCCCTTGCACCCACGCCGGGCCGTCCGCAGCCGTCCACGCCATTCTCCCTTTCGATTTGCCGTCCGCAGCCGTCCGCGCAGCCAAGCTCGCTCATCACCAGCGGCTTCTTCTCCCCACCCATCCGCAGCCTCCGCACAGTTCTCCGCACCCATTTCCCGTCCGCAGTCATCCGCGCAGCCGAGCTCGTTCATCACCAGCGGCTTCCATTTCCAGCCACTGCCTGGCACCCACGCCGTCCGCAGCCGTCCGCGCAATTCTCCGCACCCATTTGCCGTCCACAGCCGTCAGCGCAGCCAAGCTCGCTCATCACCAGCGCCTTCTTCTCCCCACCCATTTCCAGCCACTCCCTTGCACCTGCGCCATCCGCAACCGTCCGCGCACTTCTCCGCACCCGTTGCCCGTCCGCAGCCGTCCGCGCAGCCAAGCTCGCTCATCACCAGCGGCTTCTTCTCCCCACCCGTTGCCGTTGCACCCACGCCGTCCGCAACCGTCTGCGCACTTCCCCGCACCCATTGCCCGTCCGCAGCCGTCCGCGCAGCCAAGCTCGCTCATCACCAGCGGCTTCTCCCCACCCATTTCCACCCACTCCGTTGCACCCACGCCGTCCGCAGCCGTCCGCGCACTTCTCCGCACCCATTGCCCGTCCGCAGCCGGCGCAGCCAAGCTCGCTCATCACCAGCAGCTTCTTTTACCCATTTCCAGCCACTCCCTTGCACCCACGCCGTCCGCAGCCATCCGCGCAGTTCTCCGCACCCATTTCCCGTCAGCAGCCGTCCGCGTAGCCAAGCTCGCTCATGTTTCTTCCCCCGACAATCCCTTGCACCCACGCCGTGCCCCCGTCCGCAGCCGTCCGCGCAGCCAAGCTCGCTCATCACCAGGGGCTTCGTCTTCCCACCTATTTCCAGCCACTCCCTTGCACCCACGCCGCAACCGTCTGCGCACTTCTCCGCGCCCATTTCCCGTCCGCAGCCGTCCGCGCAGCCGAGCTCGCTCATCACCAGCGGCTTCTTCTCCCCACCCATTTCCAGCCACTCCGTTGCCACGCCGTCCGCAGCCGTCCACGCAGTTCTCCGCGCCCATTTGCCGTCCGCAGCCGTCCGCGCAGCCAAGCTCGCTCATCACCAGCGGCTTCTTCTCCCCACCCATTTCCAGCCACTCCGTTGCATTCGCGCCATCCACAACCGTCCGCGCAGTTCTCCGCACCCATTTGCCGTCCGCAGCCGTCCGCGCAGCCAAGCTCGCTCATCACCAGCGGCTTCTTCTCCCCACCCATTTCCAGCCACTCCGTTGCACCCACGCCGTCCGCAGCCGTCCGCGCAGTTCTCCGCACCCATTTGCCGTCCGCAGCCGTCCGCGCAGCCAGCTCGCTCATCACCAGCGGCTTCTTCTCCCCACCCATTCTCAGCCACTCCGTTGCACCCACGCCGTCCGCAGCCGTCCACGCAGTTCTCCGCACCCATTTGCCGTCCGCAGCCGTCCGCGCAGCCAAGGTCGCTCATCACCAGCGGCTTCTTCTCCCAAACCATTTCCAGCCAGTCCGTTGCACCCAAGCCGTCCGCAACCGTCCGCGCACTTCTCCGCACCCATTGCCCGTCCGCAGCCATCCGCGCAGCCAAGCTCGCTCATCACCAGCGGCTTCTTCTCCCCACCCATTTCCAGCCACTCCGTTGCACCCACGCCGTCCGCAGCCGTCCACGCAGTTCTCCGCACCTATTTGCCGTCCGTCCGCAGCCGTCCGCGCAGCCAAGGTCGCTCATCACCAGCGGCTTCTTCTCCCCACCCATTTCCAGCCACTCCGTCGTTGCACCCACGCCGTCAGCAGCCGTCCACGCAGTTCTCCGCACCCATTCCCCGTCCGCAGCCGTCCGCGCAGCCAAGGTCGCTCATCACCAGCGACTTCTTCTCTCCACCCATTTCCAGCCACCCCCTTGCACCCACGCCGTCCGCAGCCGTCCGCGCAGTTCTCCGCACCCATTTGCCGTCCGCAGCCGTCCGCGCAGCTAAGGTCGCTCATCACCAGCGGCTTCTTCCCCCCATCCGTTTCCAGCCACCGCACACACGCCGTCCGCAGCCGTTCACGCAGTTCTCCGCACCCATTTGCCGTCCGCAGCCGTCCGCCCAGCCAAGGTCGCTCATCACCAGCGGCTTCTTCTCTCCACCCATTTCCAGCCACCCCCTTGCACCCACGCCGTCCACAGCCGTCCGCGCAGTTCTCCGCACCCATTTGCCGTCCGCAACCGTCCGCGCAGCCAAGGTCGCTCATCACCAGCGGCTTCTTCTCTGCACCAATTTCCAGCCACCCCCTTGCACCCACGCCGTCCGCCGTCCGCGCAGTTCTCCGCACCCATTTGCCGTCCGCAGCCGTCCGCGCAGCCAAGGTCGCTCATCACCAGCGGCTTCTTCCCTTTTCCTTCCTGTCCCTTCCTTTCCCTTCCTGTCCCTTCCTTTCCAATCCTTTCCCTTCCTTTCCCTTCTCCCCACCCATTTCCAGCCACTCCGTTGCACCCACGCTGTCGGCAGCCATCCGCGCAGTTCTCCGCACCCATTTGCCGTCCGCAGCTGTCCGCGCAGCTAAGGTCGCTCATCACCAGCGGCTTCTTCTCCCCACCCATTTCCAGCCACCGCCTTGCACCCACGCCATCCGCAGCCGTCCGCGCAGTTCTCCGCACCCATTTGCCGTCCGCAGCCGTCCGCGCAGCCAAGGTCGCTCATCACCAGCGGCTTCTTCTCCCCCCTCATTTCCAGCCACCGCACACACGCCGTCCGCAGCCGTCCACGCAGTTCTCCGCACCCATTTGCCGTCCGCAGCCGTCCGCCCAGCCAAGGTCGCTCATCACCAGCGGCTTCTTCTCCTTTCCAGCCACCCCCTTGCACCCACGCCGTCCGCAGCCGTCCGCGCAGTTCTCCGCACCCATTTGCCGTCCGCAGCCGTCCGCGCAGCCAAGGTCGCTCATCACCAGCGGCTTCTTCTCCCCACCCATTTCCAGCCACCCCCTTGCACCCACGCCGTCCGCGGTTGTCCGCGCAGTTCTCCGCACCCATTTGCCGCCCGCAGCCGTCCGCGCAGCCAAGGTCGCTCATCACCAGCGGCTTCTTCTCCCCACCTATTTCCAGCCACTCCCTTGCACCCAGGCCGTCCGCAGCCGTCCGCTCCATTCCTTTCCCTTCCTTTCCCTTCCTGTCCCTTCCTTTCCCTTCCTGTCCCTTCCTTTCCCTTCCTTTCCCTTCCTTTCCCTTCCTTTCCCTTCCTTTCCTTTCCTTTCCTTTCCTTTCCTTTCCCTTGCACCCACGCCGTCCGCACACCACCGTTCGAGCCAGGTCGCTCCCCCACGCGGTTAAACAACTAAACGAGAACCCAAGCATCGAAGATGCTTTTGGGAAAAAGTAACAGTAATACGATATATAATGCATATATACTTACGTATGTATAGTTATATATATATATACATGTATACATGTTACCCATAATCCCAAGAACTACGACATGTCCTGCCCTTTTTTTCAGGTGATCTTTGCTCGTGCGGATTCGGAGTTCAGGACAGTGGAGGACCTTCGCAGAGCGCATGTGGAGGCCGTGTCCATCTCGGGTCTCGGGGCAATGCAGCTTCAGCAAGCTGATTCTTGGAGCTTAGCCATGCTGTAAGCTATGTCTCCCCTCTGATGTTGATTTTCTTTCAATTCTATGCAATAGCCATATACATATTTGGATATATACACATACCAAGTACAACTATATGCATTTATGCTACTTTATGGTCAAGAGAACATGATATGGATTGCTAAGTACCATAGAATACCATGTATATTGGCATCATACATATGACCATCTGGTTATTTAACATAGCCATGGAAAATGGCCCATTTATAGATGATTTCCCCATTAAACCCTCATAAACCCTCCATTTATAAGGGATTTTCCATGGCTATATGTTAGTCATAACCAGAGGGTAAATATGTATACAGTATATCTATACGACGATACGGATCTGGAATCAGATCTGCCGAGGAGTTGCTGGCTCAGGGTTTGGACATCATGACCGATGTTCCACGATTGACCTTCGAGCCTTGGCGTCGGCTGTAGCCCGAGATGGCCCAATATGGCCCGATGAACACCATTGGGTGTGGTGAAAAAAATTGGGCTTACCATGTCACATATTTCAAGGGGGAATTCTTTCTAAACCAGTACTGGTAGCAAGCTGATTTTTTTTCGATGTTTTGGTGTTTGATAGCCGATTACACCTTGACCCATCTAGTTGGGTGTTTTGTTGTTTGAAAAAACAATCCTGTTGAAGAGTTGAAGGGTGCAAAAAAAGGGGGTTATAGTAGCTGTTTGTTTTTTTTCAGCAAAAAATATTTGAATACCCAACAGTCCAATTGTCGGAATGGACCGAGGCCTTCAACCAGAACAAGATCGTTCAAGACGTTCAGGATGGTTTGGCGGATGTTGGGTTTGTGAGGACAGACCTGATCGATCGGAATGTGGCAGCCAATAAAACGAGTTGGGACTACTTCCGTGTGATTGGTGAAATGAGCGGGGATGGATTCCCGTTTGCACACTCCACTGCATTCACGCCTGAGTGGCCCATTGGGGGACTCAAACATGTGCCAGATCAGATTCGCGAGTTAGTGGCAAGAGCCCTGATGTCGTTAGATCGTTTCTCATCTGATCCTACATTGTCTGAGCCTGCAATCAAAGGCAACTTTGCGAGCTGGACCACCCCCAACAACTACCTTGGCTTGCTTGACATGCTACTAAGCATCAGGTACCTGGACCCCGTCCAACGCCGGTGTCTCCGTTCCTCTGATGAGTACAATGCCATTTATTGCCCACCCGGATGGGTCAAGAAATCCCCCGAGCAGGTCTTCTGTCCGGACTGCCGGGAAGGATATTCCTGTTTGTGTTCTCCTTGTGCCAAGCTCAGGGACCCCGAATATGTCTTGAAGGCCGAGTTGATCACCACCAGCTGGAAAGGGAATGTGGATTTGGAGAAAGTCGAGCCTTGGAGTTGAACCCGAGATGGGAGATTTGGACTGCGCATTTGAAGCTTAGGGAATGACCATGACCTGTTGAAAGGTCCATTTTTTGCAGCTTATGCAGGTTGGTACTTTTGAATTGACAATGTTCATAATGTTCCTATACTGTCCTATACTTGTATCTGACCCTGACCCTGACCCTGACCTTTGCTTGTATCTGAAAGTATTTGAACCTGGTAACCTGGCGTAACAGAACTTCGCAACTCACCCTGTGCCCAGGAAAATTCCACCTTTGTAGCTGAGAGTTGTGAGCGCATGACATTGTGCGGCCATGTGGTACTCGGACAAAAGTTGCGATGGGTACTCCTGGATCAGATCGGTGCAACCACGCGCCTGGCAATCAACGCACCTCAGGTTACCAGTGTGCAGCTTCGTATGACCATCGACGGTCCGTCGGAAAGAACAGAAGTGACTTGAGCCAACCTGAATTTCTTGGATTCGCTGCAATCACCAGGGTACTGTACCTAATCCCTTTGTAGATCTCATGTGTGTCTGCTTTCCGAAGGAACCCCAATGGCAGTCTCTTCCTCCCAGCTCTTCTATGGTGTTCTTTTTCCCAATGTCAAGACCATCTATAGTTACTCATCTAAGGTCCAAAATGTGACCTTGCCAGATCTGGCCACGCAGATGTATTACTTGGAATATGAGCCTCAAAGCACAGGAACTCAGGTGATCCAGATTAATATCAATGGCCAACCTGCCAGCATGAGTCCAGTGATCTTCGAAGTGGAGGAAGCGCCACTTCGTGTCACTCGTTGCGCCATCGGCTATGAGGCCAACGATGAGGGCCAGTGTAACCAATGCCCGGCAGGCACTGCCTCCCCTGGAGGCACAGCCAGTTGTCGAGCCTGTGACCCGGGGACCAAGCAACCTTTGGAAGGGCAAGGTAGCTGTGAGAGCTGCCCAGTGGCTCGGTGCAGTTAGAATGAAGATGATTAAGATTGATTAAGATATATTAAGATATATTAAGATGGAAATTTTGATTAAACATGTATCAAACCTTCTCGTACCCGGTGAACTGTCACGTGTTTTTTTTGATTCTGCCCGAAAATCGGGAATCTACGAACATGTTTCATTTTTGTTTGCAGCATTTTTTGTTGCAGGTTGGGGAATACCAACCGAGCTTTGCCGCGACGGCCTGTCATCCATGTGAGCCCGGCACGTCCAGTCGTGGAAAGACAGGGAGCCAGGCCTGTAGTCCATGTGAGCCTGGACAGGAGGCTGTGGTGAATGGCTCGGAGAGGTGTATTCCTTGCAAACGAGGATTCTATAGTGAGGCAATGGCATGGGCCCAACAAAAAAGCTGGCGAATTGAAAAAAATGACATACCAAGACATTTGCAAAGAAAACGATCCATTATTAGGGAACCCCTCAAAGTTAGATGGTTTATGATGGTTTAAAACTTTGAACACTTGAATTCATCAACATGTTGTTCATCCAGTTCAATTTGAATCCAACTATACAAATTGAAACTGCTAGAATTACACGAAAACATGTTTCTCGTGTTTGAACTATATCTCCAGGTTGAGGGAGCAGCCCAATGCCTGCAGTGCACGGGAGGGAAGAGTACCATCGAACAGGTTGGGTTGGATGGGTCCGTTGTGTGTTTTTGTTTGACCTCAAAACATGCTGAACACAGTCAGGTAATTAATTAAAGTAGGAGCACGAGCAATGACAATAAGCACCATGAAACAGGAATTAACCCTATACAATTGCGGGGGGAATCGCTTCATAGTCACGTTGCCATCGAAAATCGACAAGTGGAGCAATAAATGCTGTTCTTCCTTAATCAGCCTGCCTCCAATGAAGCCAGTTTATCAGGAAACATTTTCGTTGTCAATTTTCAGCACTGTACCTTGACAGGGTGCGACAGACCAATCTCTATGCGTTTGCTTGGATGGACAGCGACTTGCAGAGGAATTTGAGCAGTGTATCCTTTGTGGTCCAGGCCTGAACTGTACTTTTGGCAATGGTGAGCCCGAGCAGCTGGCAGGCTTTTGGGTGGATGTACATCTCAATCAAGGGTCGTCTCTCTCGGTGTACCGTTGCCGCAACGCCCTGGAATGTCCGGCAGGGCAACTGGGAACCTGCGCTCCTGGCCGTAGCGGGAGAGCATGTAATAACTGCAAAGCTTGGCATCGAAAAAACACGAAAGGCCAGTGTGAAGCGTGCAGTGGTGTCGATGTGCTTCTGGGCTGCACCTACACACATATACTAGTACTTACTGTAGTAATATGTAGATAGATAGATAGATAGATAGACAGATAGATAGATTGATAGATTGATAGATTGATAGATTGATAGATTGATAGATGGATAGATAGATAGATAGATTAGATAGGATTAGATTAGATAGATTAGATAGGATTAGATTAGATAGATTAGATAGATAAGATAGATAAGATTAGATAGATAAGATTAGAATAGATTAGATAGATAGATAGATAGATAAGATAGATTAGATAGATTAGATAGATTAGATAGATTAGATAGATTAGATAGATTAGATAGATAGATAGATAGATAGATAGATAGATAGATTAGATAGGATTAGATTAGATAGATTAGATAGGATTAGATTAGATAGATAAGATAGATAAGATAGATAAGATTAGATAGATAAGATTAGAATAGATTAGATAGATAGATAGATTGATTGATAGATAGATAGACAGACAGACAGATAGATAGACAGACAGACAGATAGATAGATAGACAGACAGACAGATAGATAGACAGACAGACAGATAGATAGATAGATACTCAGACAGACACATTATTTCTTGTCTATGCTTGTCTTGCTTTGTGGATTTTTGTGGAAGGGGTGCAACTTTTGGATCGCATCTCTCAGCTTTCAGATCTTTCCCAGGCTTCCTTTGCTTTGGATCTTGCTGGGTGCATTGATATTGAGTGGTATCACCTGGTTGTTCGCGCAAACCTCACTGGCGCGACAGAGATTGGGCCAGGTGACCGTCTTTCTAACTGCTGGGCAAGTGATCATGCTCATGCAGCTCATGGCCGCCTTAAAGAATCTGGACTTCCAGTGGACAGGCCACTGAAACATGCAGCTGATTATTCGAGTCGCTTCGCGATGAGTTGGGCCGGCCATGTCCCCCAGTTGGAAGCCATGTGGACCTCAACTTGGGCCGAAGTTGCTCCTAAACAGGTCCAACTTGGGGCCAAGTTGCGACATGTTGGACCCAAATTGGGGCCAAGTTGGAGCCATGTGGGTTGGGCCCAACTTGGGGCTTTGTTGGCCGATGTTGAGGACATGCGGGGTCGAAACGGTGCATCTGGACGATGCTGAGCTGCTGGGCCGATATGCAAAATGTGCAAATTACTGCACTCCCAGCTGAAGCTGCACCAGTTGAACAGATCTGTTCGTATCCCTCGCTGCTAAACTGCCACGCCTCGGCACCCTCGGTGCGGGCGGATTTGGCATACACATGTATACTGCATACTGTATACCCCAAAATAGCAATAACCCATAGGCGTTTGGGTGTGGTCTATTTTCAGCCAAACCCAAGTAGTGAAATCAACGAAATTTTGGAGTTGAGACTTTCCCTCAGAAAAGTTTTTGGCGGCTGGCACTTGCACTTAGGATTTATGTACAGTACGTTTTCATTTGAATGATAGGACTCTGTTGCATCCTAATCACCTTCATGAGCTCATGCATTGTGTCTGTGACATCAAGTCAAGCCAAACAGCCAGTGCTGCCAGAATGTGGTTCTACCAACACATACCAATGCACTAATCCAAACAGATGAGACATAAACTGTGCCCATCATCACATGGAACTATATTCCGTACGTAACATACAGTAATTCAATAAATAATATATGCTATGGTCAAAGCACGGTTAAAACCTCGGTCAGGTTTTTCCGATTTACTTTGGGAAACACAAAGAATTTCCATGGCTGTTATTAGACTTGGTGGTCGCGAAATTTTGTTTATTTCGGTTTACGGTTTTGCAAATCGGTATCGTGAGGGGAAACGCCCCAATGACCTTCTCTTGGCAAGTTTGATTCCTGCTATTACTGAAATTGGTCTTCCGTTCTGTATTTTGGGTGACTTCAATGAGCCACCATCCAAACTGCCTTCCTTCCAATTTTTCCGTGACTTGGGGGCAAGGGAAGCATTTGAGTGGTACCATGCAAAGACAGGTATTCTTCTTCCCGCTACATGTGCAGGTTCAACAAGAAACGATACGGCTATCTTACATCCATGGCTGTTACAACATGTGCAATCTATGCAAGTCTCTACTGATGTTATTTTTGAACCCCACTCGCCATTGTGTATTGAACTTCAATTTTTGGATGTTCAAGATGTGAATTTGTCTTGGAAACTCCCGAAATCTTGGGCAGCTTTTTCACCTGGCAAACAACAGATACATGATGCGTATATTCCAGTTGATTTCGAGGCCATTGAACACAAATTTCAACATGACCCTTGCAAGATTGTTGACTCAGCTTTCTCCACATGGTCCGGTGCTGTCGAAACTGCAATCGACAAGGCATTGTTTGTGGCTCACCGCAACGACCCTGTCCGGAATGTTAATGCTTCTCTCCATGCATCATTCAGAGGAAGATGCAAGTTTGAGAAGAAATTTTCTGAAAACAAAAAATCTTTTGTCAAATCAGACAGACACGGTGGCTATATGCCACCTAGTGAAGTTTTCACTTTGAAGTCTCGTTTGAAAATCAGGCAAGTGAGACGCCTGAAATCATTATTGCGGAGGTTCAAGGGTTTGGACCTTCTCCCTCGGCATGAGCAGTCTGGGCATTCTGGATATGTCGCTGCTCGTAATGAGTGGAAAGCCATTCTTTCAGCCAAGGGCTACGGCAATCGATGGTCTAACTGGATTTTGGCATTTGAGGCCGTTGGTTTTTTACCAATGGATCTCCCTGACATGGACACTTTGGACATTGTCACTCAGATCACGGAACATGATTGTAATTGTGCATGCATGGAAGAGAGCAGGTGTCGTCGTGATCGCTTCCGTGCAGCCATTCAATTTGACCAGGAGCATGACTTCTCCAAACTGTGTTATCGGATTGTCAAAACCAAAAAGGCGCCTCTTCTGTGTGATGTTCCAGTGGTACGAACAGTCAAGGCCAAATTGTTGCGATCTTCGGTCGGTTCTACAGCTCTTCTTTTGGAAGACGACATTGATATTCCAAGACATTCTTCTTTGTCCTTCAATGATGCTGTCCTGGAATTCTGTGGGCAACAAGGAAGAAAGGTATTTTTCCGGCACTTGTCAGGCAAGATGGAAGCCTGCGGCACTTTACAGGTGAAATTTCATGCAGTGACTGACAATGAAATTTTACATGAGTTTGATCAGTTCTGGAAACCCTTCTGGCAACGGGATGAACGTGCTGAACAATTTGAGGATGAGAGTTGGACGGAATTTTTGCGGCTTCTTGACAATTGTCAATTCCCAAGACTTCCCGCTATTGCAATTGAAATGGAGAACGTCGACTTGTGGCTTAAGACTGTCAATAAACTGCCATCATGTAAAGCAGTGGGCCCGTGTGGATGGTCCAATGATGAACTTAAGTGTCTCCCCCGTGTTTGTATTGCTGACCTTGTGAGAATTTTCAACTTGGTCCTGGGCAGAGGATTTACATCCTCTATGATGATGGCAAAAACCATCCTCCTTTCTAAAAAGGAATGTCCTGTTTCAATGCATGACGCAAGGCCGATCACAATCCTAAGCTGCTTGTACAGATTGTTCGGTAAGATGATCTTCAAGACCGTCTCAAAAATCTGGACACGTTTTTTTCCTGCTCCTATTTCAGGAGGGCTCCCCGGTCGTGGGGTCAAGGAAATTGCATTTGCTCAGAAACGTTTCATTGAGGATTCGCTACAATCTGGCCAAACATGTGGAGGTTTTTCACTTGATTTGATCAAGGCCTTTAATACGTTTGGTCGTTTTGCTGTTGCTAGGATCCTGAACCACCTTGGGATACCTGACGTGATTTTGGATGCATGGATTTTGAGCCTCGACAGGATGGTACGCTATCCAACTCTGAATGGCTGCGTTGGGAATCCAATCATCTCCACAACAGGGGTGCCCGAGGGATGTTCGATTAGTGTTCTGGCCATGCTGGGTACCTCAGCTTTTTTCTATTACAATCTCATGAGTCCGGTTGTTCATCCGTTTGCCTACGCTGACAACTGGAGTTGGCTTACGAGACAACAACAAGCCCATCTGAGGGCACTTGACATGGTTAAGAAGGTCACAAGGGTCCTGAGACTGCAGATTGACTTCAACAAAAGTTGGCATTGGGGAACCACCAAAGAGTTCCGAAAATTTTGTGCTGATATTATCCCTGCTGAAGGTCAAGCGACCATCGTCAAAACCGTGGTCAAAGATCTTGGCGAAGTGGTACACTACAACAAATCCATGTCCCTGGGTTTCGTGAAGGAAAAGATCCAGGAATCCATTACTCGCATCAGCAGAATTGAATCGTTACCGTGTTCACTTCAAAAAAAGGCTCTTTTGATTCAGACATCGGTTTATCCGATGGCGTTTTACAGTGCTGATACAGTGTATATTGGTCAGCATCATTTTACAACCATGAGAAGAGCTATTACTCATGCCCTGGTGGGCAACTGGCACAACGCCTCCCCTCTGGTGGCATGTTGTGGGATTTCAAAGTTTTTGCATGACCCTTTCGTTTATGTTCTCTGTCATTGCGCAAGAACCATTCGCAGACTCGCCAACGTTGACCCTGACGGTGCAGCTTTGGCTGTGAAATTTGCTTTCAACTATGAAGGTTGTCGTCCTTTTGGACCTGCCGGCACAATCAAGTGTTACTTCAAACACATGAATTGGTCGTTGCATGAGGATGGTACAGTTTTTGGACCGGAACTTTTGCAATTCAATATCCTTCAGGATTCGACCAAGAAGATACGACAGTGCATCATAGCAATGTGGGAACATCACGTGATTGATTCCATGACACGCAAAGGAGTGGGTGACTATCATGTTGATTTCAAGCTGGCAGCCAAGCTCTTATCCACAATGGAGGATGCCGATCAACATCTCTTGAAGCTGAACGTCGTTGGTGGCTTTCAGACACAACAACAAAAAGCTTTGTGGGATGAAAACGTAATTTCCGCATGCTTGTTATGTGGTGAACCTGACACCAGGGAACATAGACTTTTGTCATGCAAGGATACCCTACATGTCAGAGCCCAACATACAGAGGCATGCAGAATCCTCTTGGATTACAGGCCTGAATGGTGCTACATGCCACTCCCCAGACTGTTTGATGAGATTACCATTTTACGTGCCTTTGTGGCCACCATTAAAATGCCCCCTCTGGAACAGGCGGAATTTTCTGGTCAATCACGTTTGAGGTTTTTTACAGATGGTGGCGCAATTCACCCAGCTCACCATGTTGGGCGTCTTGCAGCATGGGCAGTTGTTCAAGACTTATCAAAGACCGAGGATGAAAGGAGGTCTTGTGTTGACTTCTTATTCCTTGACCCTCCGCAACTTCCACTTTTTAGAGTTGCTGCTATGGGCTTGGTTGCTGGTGATCAAACAGTGGCAAGAGGTGAGTTACAAGCGATTGTGGCAGCCTGTAAAATTGCCCTCTCCACATCAGGGTGGCGGGACGTTGATTTTTTCACAGATGCCAGTTACGTTTGTATCATTGTGGCGATGGTGGAATCAGGTCTTTTCAGCTTTTGTCTCCACAAGTTACCCAATGCGGACCTTATTTTGGAGCTTCAAGACCTGTGGCAACGTGATATTTTTCATGTTCACAAGGTCAAGAGTCACAGATCTTTTGACGATGCCACCGATCTGGAAGATTTATGGCGCATCGCGGGCAACTTTTGTGCTGACATGGTGGTTGGTCTGGCTTTCAAGACAATTCCATCGTGCATTAGAGATTGTGCAGATAGGGCAGTGGCATTTCAAGAGCGGGAAAGGTCTTGCCTTCTGTGTGTTTTTGAGTATATGGTGGCTCTTAACAAAACTCGCTGTGAATTGCTCAATCAGTCTTCACTTTCTGGCAAGGGACACACAACCAAACTTCAGACACCAAAGCCTGAACAGGAGCGTGTAATCGGAAGATTTGATTCACAGGCATATGGACATGATGCGATGAAATGGCTATGTCATTTTGAACCTGATGGATACGACGTGTGGGAACCGGTCCAGTGTGACGCAGCCATTTTTCAGATGGTTTTACAAGGTCCAAACATTGGCATTGCCATCAAACACTGGGTTGAATCCCTCCGGTGGCCACCTGATTTACAACAGAAAGATCCGCAAGACTGGGGAATTTCCTGGTTCGAAATGCTGGTTTCTTTTTACATATTTTCAGGGATGCTTTTTCCCATCAAAGTGGCTGGAGCGGGTGCCCTTGCCAAATTTGTTGGATATCATAGCGACGAAGCGACAATGTTACCACCGAACAAACGGACTGGTGCATTACAAGCCGTGTGTTTTCGAAATGCAATTCAAAATCTTTGTACCCTTTTAGGAGAACGGTTTTTTCCTACTTTCGAGTCATCTCGCTGCAGTTCCATGTACAGATTAGGATGGCGAAACGAGTGTGCAGGTCTTCCTCGTAGACCGATACTTCCCAACAACCAGCAAACGATGACATTCATCCAATCATATCTTGAGAAACTGGGTGGTGTCAGAGCACTTGCAACTCCAATCTACATCAAAGATCTCAAACCTCAACTTGATTTGCTGCCGATCGATGAAGATAACATCGCACAACGATATAAAAAATATATGGCCTTCATGAAGATCAAGAGACGTGGGGATTAATTCATAATCAATTTCCTCTGCTGTGTGCAGTTGTTGCAAGTTTCAACCTCATACCTCCGCCACCTGTGCTTGGAGTTTGAGACCGTGGTGAGTCCGCATGCGTCCAGTCAAAGCACGGTTTATTTTCCCATCTTGGCAGATAGTCATCTCCCGATTGGTAGGCTGGTAAATGCCCCTTGTTTTTGGAATCTCTAGTGGTGGTGGATGGCCACATATATCATGCTTTAACCAAGGCGTATATACAGTAATATGATGTAATATGTATAGCCTGCATCTTTATATCGGTTGGAACATGTGGGAACCATTCCCAAGTCGTTGGAAAATCTTTTTTCCAGGCCCTGCGATATATGTCCTGGACGCATTGGGCGTGCTGGCGTTTCCGGGAGCTGATTTGCTGTTACCTTTTTCTTACTTTCCGAGATCAATCCCTCAACATGACTGGCTCATTTGGAAAATCCATGGTTTTTTGAATGCCCTTAATGGTTTGCAGATGTCTATAGTATTTTTAAATTGTTGCCATTGGCAATCAACAATCCCATTCTTCTTTGGAAAACCTCTAACCAGTGGTCAGCCACCATGACCGCGGCATCTACTGTTCATGATGGACCAGGTTTGACATCGATTTCCTGAACTTGGGATGTGTGGTGCCAGACAGCGGACCATCGCTCACATTTCTGTCGCAGTTAATGGCGTACCCAGCATTTTCCTGTTGCATGCTGGTGGTATGGTGGTGTATCGGGAGGTGGGGACGTTTCAAACATCTTCAAAACATGTCAACATATATTGGACCCATTCAGAAAACAATATCAGACTCCTCAAACAGTAGATGGTTAATGATGGTTAAATGTTGAAATGAACAGCATTTTGTGGGTTCTGAATACTAAAAAACCGGGACCATTTCGCCAGGTGCCACGATGGCTTGAAGGGTTCGGATCTTTTCAATATCAATGGCCTTGTGCTGATGACGTTGTACGTCACCCTGACTATCGTTTCGTTGCTGCCCTGGCAATGCGTCTCAAACCCCAACGGGACGTTGACGATGCAGACGCAGCCAGGGGTCATTTGCTTCAATTCAGAGGAGCACACCATGCTCATGCTTCTCTCTGTGCTTGGAATCATCATGCACCTTGGATGGTTTCAGAAAGTTTCAAGCCACCAAAGGGAGAGGTTCCTGGTCAATCATATTCATGGTGATGGTGTCACTGTTGGTGCTGTTGCTGTTGTATTTCCTATTCACTCTCATGTTCCCCTTTCCTTTTCCATACTATTTCTTACTTACTGCTTCCCCGTTCCGCCAAAGTGCCGACTGTCGCTGGCCTCGAGGTACCCTTTGCCCATGCTGGCCATCTCCATACAAGCGACTGTAACTCGGACGGCCAATGGCCCACTGGTGCCTGAAGATAACAACCCCACAATTTCTGGCGCCTAAACAAATCCAAAAAAAAAGGACATGATGATAAATTGGTTGATTTGCGGATACCGGATTTTCAGACAAACCTGCGTGTTTTTATCTACTCTGCGCATGTGTTCGTCAACGGGTTTTACTAATATGTGTTTATCAACTGCATGGGAGGTGCAGTTGAAGCACAGGTCATAGCAAAATGAAGCCCCGAGTCCGCGTCGCAATGTAATTAAAGCTTGGACCATCAAAGTGGTGTGCAGGGCAGCATTGGTTCCCAAGTAGCACTCGAGTCAAATGTGTCCCACAGTTGGGCATGAAATGTGTGCGTGACCATGTGACATTTGTATATCTCCTGTTGTGATCAATGTGCTATCAGTATTTTATACATCGTTGTGAATGCACAGACTGCAGACCCGTCTCTACAATATAGGGTTTGTACTATGTGGATTTGTAGACATGCACTAGACATGCAAAATATTGCAAATACGGTGAAGCAGTGGCTTTGACCTTGCATTCTGCTGCTTTCAAGATCTTTGCGTTGAGCATTTGATGCTGAAGTCGGCACCTTTCATCTCTGTCAGGTGATGTATCCTTCCTATGTGGCCTCAGGCCAAGGTTTGGTCATCGTGAACAGATATCGCTTCATTTTTGAGCGCTTCCGTGCCAATCGATACTTCTTCGGTGTGCTTTACTTGTGCAGGACAGCTTTGGTCATTCAGTGAGCTTGTGTTTTTTACCAGGAATGGGGTGTATGCCCTAAAATATGGCTATACAAAGTTCAAAGGGGGAACATGGTGATAAACCATGGATTTTGGTTGGGCCTCCCAACATATTTTCACGGAAAAAAGCGCTGTTTCCGGTCCAGGAACACATTCTTGTCGCTGATTCCAGTGGCCTTTGCGAACTACCCATCAGTTCCATGGAGTCGCTTACTATCGGTTTCCATAGTCATGGTTGGATACCCCTTTATCGCTGGATGGTTTAATGTTGAGAATGGAACATCTATACGTGGATGATGAAACTGGGGTACCCCCCTTCTACCAAAACGTCTTCAGCTCCATGTTCCGGAGATGCGAAGAAAATCCCAACCATGTCATGGGTGGATGTTTTGTCCCAAGGTTCAAGTGACGATGCTGGCAGCAGTGATGTTGCTGGGCATGATCGTCCAAATGCGGGCATGGCCCTGGAGGACCAAGGTGGACTCCGCCCGCTGAAAGAAACGGTGAAGTGGAGTAAAATGACGAAGTGAACTGGAACCATCTGGAACCTAATATCATTCACATGTTATATATATATAATATTTATACATATATATATATAATATATATATATACATATATATATATATATTACAAATATACCCAGTTAGTCCAAAGGACGAGTTGAACGCGGCCGTTAGAGTAAAGGACCTAAATGCCTTGAAAATAATCAAAAAACTCATGCCTTGAAAATAAACAAAAAATCCGCACCGTAAGATCAGCAGCAGCCACACAGAGCGGGAACACTCATGAGAAAAATTGGTCACAAAATTGCAAAACCTGATTTTGCGGGTTTTTTCACGGCCGATTCACGGCCTTTTCACTGGCTTTTCATGGCCTTTTCACGGTTTCTTCACGGTGTCATGATTTTCGCAAATGAAGTTGCGCCCTCAATTTTTCAAGCAATTGGATATCTTTGGGGGCTGGCACCTTGCTAAGTCTCACAAAAATACGACAAAAATCATCACATAGAGAAAACCTTGGTCCTAAAGGCCTAGTTTAACCAGGCCTTTAAGGCAAAGGCCTAGTTACAGCGAGGACTCGGACCGAAAGTCGACACGACTTGGGTCAACTTGGGGTTGATCTGTTGATGTGCCAGGTAGGATCGATGTTTGGGAAAATTTAGAATCTTTATCTTCAGCAAAACCTCCGTTGTAGCGAGAAACCAAAGATTCAAATCATTTCCCATAGGATCCATGTATGCCATATATGGTAACATTTACCATCAATATACCCCAAATGTTAGCATATTATACCAGCACCATGGATCCTATGGGTTTTACTCTAGATATCCCTAGATATCTCTAGATCCCAAGTTTGGGCTCCTAAGATCAGCTCAAACAGAGCGCTTTTTAGGTGGCCAACATCACCGACATGATCTTCTCTGGCGGAGTGGTGCTGTTCCTGGTCATCGCTGGACCCATCGTCCACTTTGAAACTGAGCAGGATCAGCGATCCTATGCGGCGTTCATCTCTTGGAGCTTTTGTGTCTTGAATAAAAAGGAGATCCTCGAGTTAGAACTAGACGCGCACTAGATGACTACTGTAGATGATTCGATGATTAGATGATTAGATGATTAGAATCATAGAGTCATAGAGTTCTGGCATGTATTGGCATGTTGATCTCATGGTGATGTTTCAGATGATTTGAGCGCGAGACAGGTCATGACCATGGTAATTATCAACATGTTTTAAACAGTGATGCATAGTGATGCTAATTCAATGTGGGGATGCTTACAGATGTCTAAAAGATGTGGACATATTTGGCCCCTAGTTGATTGAGGATGAGTTCCGTAGGTTCTTTTGACCTTCCTTTTCTTCCTTTTTTTTGAATCGGGACTGGAAATGCAGCCATTAATCAACCGAGGTGCTTTGTTGTTGGTCTTCATTGTGGCCTTTGTTGTGGTTGCCTTCATGTACCTCCGAAGGCGGCTCAATTCTGAAAAGCCGTACAAAGTCTTCCTGACTCATCACAAAGGCGCAGCTGGCAGCCTTGCAAGATTCATCAAGCTCATCCTTTCGAAGCACCTCAACTGAAACATGAAACAACTGGACCAGTGGACTGCGATCTGCGCTCTGTAGCGAAAAACAATGCCGAAAACGACGACTGAAGATGATCACCTCCAATTGAATGATGAAGCAATTAATCAACATTGGTGTGTTTGAAAATTGGATATACAATAGTGCACTTACAAACTGGCTTTTTTTTATAGGGAAAATGATGTTCTCAGGCATTGGAATGTTTGGCTTTTTCCCATGGTTTTCCCATGGTTTTCCCATGGTTTTCCCCTCATTCGAAAGGGTCCATGGATGCCATCGCTTTCCAGCGATCCTCGGTTTTTCGCTCAGACATTCCAGCGACCGGTTCTTCTTGGATTCTGACGAGCTCCAAGACTTGGACTCCCTCTTCGAATGTGTCCGTGCACACACGAAATTTGTGGTCCCTCTCTTGACACCGGCATTGATGACAAGACCATGGTGCGTGGGTGAGCTCACAACGGCATTTCTGAACCGGGTGACCTGAAAAAGAAGTGGTAGCCTTTTCTAGTTGCATAACCCAAAACGCCAAAACATGGATGGTTTGTGAAGATGCTGGAAGGTAGTTTTCATTTGTTTTTTCAGATTTTCTCACCCCTCAAGCGGCCGAGGTGCCTATCTTGCCCATCTCTTGCAATGGATGTACCATCATCCCGTCTTCACGCGTCCCAGGAATTCTGAATTCCTGGACTGTTGACGAGTTCCAGCCCTTGCTGGCAGCAGGAATCAATGAAGCGGCCATTGAGGTCCCATGGCTTTATTGGGATACATTGGGAATATGATACAATATGTATATAAATATTTAAATAACTATTATATATATATCATAATATAATATGATACAATGATACAAGGATGAAATGATATCATGATATAGATATAATGATATAATGAGATAATGATATAACGATATAATGATAAAATGATATTAATGATATACATACATGACATTACATGACATTACATGCCATTACATGACACTACATGACATGACATTACATGACATTACATGACATGACACACACACAATATATATATATATATATTTATTTAAATAATATTTAGATTTGTAATACATAATAATGGAGACATATTGGGATACAACCAATCACATTGCTTTATCCACTGGTAATTTAACAGTTTGCTATGGAAATCACAATGTCACGAGAGGTAACTCCTGTGGGGCTACCCGCGTTTTACTTTACGAAGTAAAGGAGAAAGTGGAACCCCTTTACGCTGAATTCTTCAGGAGATTGCCTTTCATTTCAGACCTCGCATGCACCGGGACCCCCTTCAAAAGCCCAAAAGAGGCATGTTCAGCTTGTACTTTCTGCTTGCTGTTTTTCAAGGTTTTTCAAAGAGATATCTGTCTATCTGATCTGTCTATCTGTCTATCTATCTGTCTGTTTGTCTGTCTGTCTGTATCTATCCATCCACCCATCTATCCATCTATCCATCTATCCATCTATTCATCCATCCATTTATCTATCCGTTTAGATCCACCTACCTACCTATTTGTCTATCTATCTATATATCTATCTATCTTTCTATCTATCTACCTAGCTATGGATCTATCTATAGATCTATCTGTCTATAGATCTATCTATAGGTCTATCAATAGATCTATCTATAGATCTATCTATAAGTCTATTATAGATCTATCTATACATCTGTTTGTATCTATTTATAGATAGATCTATCTAGTTCTATGTAGATCTATCTAGAGCTATCTAGATCTATCTAGATCTATCTAGATCTATCTAAATCGTTCTAGACCTATCTAGATCTATCTATCTGTCAGTGTATCCTATCTATCCTATCTATCCTATCTATCCAATCTATCCACTCTATCCACTCTATCCTATCTGTCCAATCTATCCTATCTATCCTATCTATCCAATCTATCCAATCTATCCAATCTATCCTATCTGTCCAATCTATCCTATCTATCCTATCTATCCTATCTATCCTATCGATCTAATCTATCTAATGTATCTCATTTATCTCATGTATCTAATATATCTAATCTATCTAATCTATCTATATAATCTATCCAATCTATCTAATCTAATCTATCTAATCTAATCTAATCTAATCTAATCTAACCAATCTAATCTAATCTAATCGTAACTTAATCTTAATATTAATCTTAATCGTGAGTTTACTCTTAATCTTAATCTAATCTAAACTAATCTAATCTAATCTATCTAATCTAATCTAATCTAATCTAATCTAATCAATCTAATCAATCTAATCTATCTCACATATCTCATCTGTCTATCTGTCTGTCTGTCTGTCTATCTATCTATCAATCAATCTATCTATCTATCTATCTGCCTGCTTATCTATCCAGGAAGTTATCTATCTTTGCATCAGTTTATCCATCTACCTTACTATAGGTCAGGTTGAGGTAACTCTGCAATTGCGGCCTGTTTGCAAAAATCTGTCAGCGATGCCACAGCCCCGCTTGCTGACATGCGTAACATGTGCTCGCATCTTCAGCCATGCCTGGTTCTTTCTGTATGAAAGCTAGCAACAAACACCTGTAAAGAGCCTACTACATGCTGCCGGACGAAACAACCTCCTCATTTTCCTTCCTTACTTCTTAGGCCACTGCCCATCTGCCCATCTTTTTCTACTCCCTCTCTTGACGATCGCCTATCTTTCGTGTTCCCCCTCGCAAGTTTACTATCTGGATGGGTCATGTTGGCAATTTTCCGTAGCTATGTTAATTTACTGGCAGGATTGCTCCAGCCCATTAAAGCACAATGATAGCCACTTTTAGGCTGGTTTTTACCCAATTTGCCTGACAATGCTAAGAGATCAACTCCGCCACCCCTAGGAGTTTTGGTTTCCGAAGAATCCTTTTTGTTTTCTCCAGAAGACCTTTTGGTTCAGAAGCCTCGGTTTCCGAAGAATCCTTTTTGGTTTCCGAATAATCTTTTGACCAAATCCCAATGTTTAAAGCTTAATTTTCCCCAGTAGGATTAAGTGAGTTTTGTTTTTTTTCGA